GAAGACTGGTATGTCCTGCAGAGAATGAACTGGCTCCAGCTCAGGAATGAAGCAGTCCCAACACACATCATCTGTGCTCTGAGATGCAGCGAGGGGATGTGCCTGGGTGGCTGCAGCTGCCACGGGCACCAGTGTCTGCTCCCAGAAGCCAGCCCAGGAGCACTTTCCCTGGGATAAGAAAGGATGTGTATGAGGTACATGAGCAGGAAGCACAGCTGTGGGACTGCGCTGCTAGACTGGAAAAAGAAAATCTGTTGTAAAACAGGCATCCAAAGCAAGAGTTTGCTTTTCCAGAGGCTGTGGGGAGCCTGAGGGTCTGGGATTGAGACCAAAGACAATGACTGCAGGAGGAGGGGTAGTAACACCTGGAAAGCTTCAGGGATGCTTCCTCAGGGCGGATGGAGTCATCAGCTGGCGTGGCTGTGACTGGCAGGGGGAGCAAGCAGGGCCCACAGGGGGATGGGGCACAGCTCACCCCTGCCCCTGCAGACCTGCTGGGGTGAGGTGATGATCCAGCAACTTCCCGGCTGGTGCCCGGCCAAAAGCCCCGTGTAGGTGGGCACAGGACCACAAAGGGTAACATGGGCACCAGTGATCCCAGTCCCACTGGGATGGGGAGCTGGCTGAGAACTGGGGCTGGCTGCTGCCTGCTCTCAGCCGGTGCCCTCAGCAGCAATAACATGGAATGCTTTGGGTTGGAAGGGGCCTTAAAGACCATCCAGTTCCAACCCTGGTGACAGCACTGAGCTTTGCTGTGCAGCAGGTCCCTGCCTTTCCCATCCCTTCTCCTGGAAAGGGCTCACCTCGTGCAGCACGAACTGCTCCTCATCCTCACACATCCCCTGGCACAAGCAATGGGGCCCCCCGACTCACTTTTACTAAACAGAAACCAATTCCCAGCATTCACAGCTGCTCCTGCTGCATCTCTCAGCACCTTTGGGACTTTTTCTGAGTCTTCTGGTGTTTTGAAGCCATCCCCAAGAGCCACTGGATGACTCACTGCACGGATATGTAAGCAGTGAAGGAAGAGCAGGTGCTGCCCGACTGGGACTCCCACTGGGATGACACGATGGAAACATGCCATGGGCACCCAGCAGGTCACAGGGGACCTGTGGGGCTTGGGAACAGCCAGTTATATATCCATAGAATCTCAAGTGCTCTCATCTGGTATCTCACTCACAGCCCTTCAGTTGTTGCTCTTTATCTCCCTCCCCTGGACCTCGGGAAACCAGACCCAGCTCCAGCCCCAGCTACCTATGGATGCTGAATGCAGACTCCGAGATATGGGGGATCGGACCCAGACACAGCTGAGGCAAGTTCCCACAAATCTGGCAAGTTAGAGTTTAAAATAGTGTGTATTCAGGATGAGTCTGATCTGGGAAAGGAGCAGCACCATTTCTCCCAGGACACATTTCTGACACCCGTCAGATGAGGAGAAGCAGGTGGGTGAGGGATGGGGACGAGCTCAGGCCTGTCAAGGGTGCTCATGGAAGTGGGGTGTGCAAGCTCAGCTCCACTAGTCTCTGCCCACAGGGTGGCCTGACACCAGTGCCCTCCCCTATGACGGATGTTTACAGAGCTGGACGGGATCCCTGGAGCCCTTGTGTCCATGTGCCATCAGCTGCAGGACACCAGGGTTCTACGAGGTCCTGGTCAGACTCTTTCCCCAGCTGCATCCACGAGCTGGGGACCTCTAGGAAAAAGCCATTAGCTGGGAACCTCCAGGAAAAATGTGCCGGTGGGATGTTGCTGGCAGGTTTGGTGGTTGGTGGGAGCAGGAGGCGAGGGGGCCTCGTGTTCGGGGTTGCCGGTCCCGGCGGTGCTCCCAGTGCAGCGTCAGCCAGTTTTTGGCAGCTGTGAGCCCTGGCCCCACATTGCCCACAGTCCTGGCCCCAGGGAGGCAGGGAGAAGGTGGCATGCTCACATCTAAATACAACATGTTCCCCAAGCATGTTTGTTAACATAGTCACAAATAAACATTTTGCAAGATTTTTGCCAGGAGAATGGGCTTAATGTGTGTGGAGCCTTGAGGGACAGGAGAAAGCTGATGCAGCCTATCACTGTGGGCACTGCTCTGGCCTCCCTAGAACTGCTGGGGTGAGGGAAATTGATTCCTCTCAGGGGAGTGCATTACTTAAGTCCCTGTGTACCAATAGAGAAGCAAATCCCATTAATCCAACCAGGATGGAAACAATATTGTGGTATCGAAGTAGAAGAGAAGGGCAAGTGGAAACTGCCAGGTTCTGCCTGTCCTCCCCACTGGCAGTTTTGCCCCCACTCTTCTCCCCTCAACAGGCTCTGGCTTCAGGGTGAGTGAGAGGAAAAGGCAAAGTAATCTCCCAGGTCCCTGGGGGGGGACTTTCAGGCTTTCAGGGACAGGACAAGCAGCTCAGCCCTGGGAGAGTTGTGGGAGCCCAAAGGGAAGCAGGGGCAGAGCTGAGCAGGGAGGCACGGAGGAGGAAGAGGGAAGTCCTGGGTGGTCAAGGGTCTGCAGGCTGTGGTTTTCTATATGGACCCTAAAGACTCCTCGTTCATCTTCTAACCCACAAGTTGTTCATGCTTTTGCCCATCTCATTCTCTGCCCCATCGCACTGAGGAGGAAGCAAATGAGTGTCCAGGAGGGGGCTCAGCAGCTGGCAGGGGCCAGCCCAGCACATTTCCCAATTCCCACATTTCCCCAGTTCCACATTTCACAATCCTTCATCCCTGGAAGTGTTCAAAGCCAGGCTGGATGGGGCTCTGAGCAACCTGGGCCAGTAGAAGGTACCCTTGTTGGAACTAGATGGTCTTTAAGGTCCCTTCCAACCCAAACCCTTCCATGATCCTATGATTTTCCCAGTGCCTGCAGCTGCCTCTCGGTACCCCACTGTGCTCCAGTTGGTCCCAGTAAGTTGTGACCCCCTGGCCTGCAGTGTCCAGCGGGAGGGATGCAGAGGGCATTGGAATAACTGGGAAGGCTGAGGGCTAGGAGGAGGACTGGCCACATCCTGCTTTGCACAGGCTGGCAGCAGTGTGCTCCTACAAGTGATCCCACAGTCCCCTCTAGTGGATATTCCTACTCCATCGACATGGATGTCCTGCCCACACTGTGTGGGCACCACAGGGCTCCAAACTTTGACTCCAGCAGTGGCCCTGGGGTACCATCACACTCCTCTCCCAAAATTGGGCATGGTGGCAGGATCAAAGCCCCATCCAGCTGCCGCCAGCTGAGCCATCGCTGCCTTCACTCCTTCCCCTCCTGCGTATTTGGGTGACTCATCCTCCCTCCATCCCCTGCCCTGGCTTTGTCCCACACCACCCGCTGCCCTTGCGTCAGGGCTGGCCCCAGCTGGCCCCTGCATTCCTTACTCTCCCTCTCCACCGGGATTCCACACCACTTGGAGTTATTTGGGCATCAGCCAACAGGAGGAAGAGCTCATGAACACCCTCGTGGCAACTTCTTCCAAGAGATCCAGGTGTGAGCATCGCTTGCCCCTGCCCTGCCAGACCCTGCAATCTTAGTCCAGCTAGGACTGGGACAAAGTGGGATGCTCTCAGGGTGAATCCCCTAAGGGAGGTGGATGCGTGCACCTTTGTCCAGCAGCTCCTGCCCATAGGAAGGGTGGGAAGGCTCCCACTGGCACTGGCCTGGAGCAATGCTCTGTGCTCAGGGCCAGGTCACCACCACCTCGTTCCCCCTCTCTCCGCCTCTCCCTGCCTTGGAAACTGTGCTTGTCACCTGGAAGATACGTGATATCTACAACCTGAGGCTTTTCAAGGGACAAAAAGGCACTCAGGAGAGCGTGGAGGAACGGACACATCTGCAGACCACGGTTCGTGATGTTCCATCATGCTGCGGTCCTCCACCTTGCTCCATCTTTTGCTGGGAAACATGTAATCCTGGCCCCAGTGCCCCCCCTCAGCAGTCTCAGTTCAGAGCAGAGCTGGTGTCAAACCCGCTGCCTTCGTCCCTGTGCCAGGAAAGGACAGTGTCCTCTCCAGAGCCTCCAGTACAGGGTGAAGGTAGTAGGGATGGAGAAGCAACTGGGGTCCAACACTTGGTACCAGGAAGCCCCAGGAAGCAGCTGGAAGGGCAAAGAGGTGGTTGTTACCCAAACCAGCCCTGGGGCAGCTTTATGGTCCCCACAGCAGCACCCTGGGGAGATATATACCCAGTGCAGGCCGTGCTGCCCAAGCTGGCAGCCAAATCACCTTGTCCCTTGAAGGCTGGGAAACCCTTGGTGTCCTGGCTTCAGCAGGACTGTACCTCCAGCTCAAGGATGTGATCCTGCTCACACCTTGTGTCATGTCCTGGAGTCACACTAGTGCAAGGACCACACACCCTGCTGCCAATATCCAATCCTCCCCGCTGTCTCACTACTATGGGACATTCCTGAACCTGGTGCCATGGGGAGCAGAGCCAGGCCTCAGGCTGTCCAGCCACAGCCGAGCAGGGTTCAGGCCCAGAAACACACATCTCAGGCATGAGCTGTGGCACTGACCATGATCCTATGATTTTCCCAGCCCTGCTAGTATGATCCTAAAGTCCTTCCTCCCTGCCTTTGGTCCCCTGTGTCCAGCTGGGCTATGGCATTGCTCACAGCATGCAGGTGCTGGTCAAACACAGGGATCCTTGTGTCATGGCCCCACGGTGGGCAAGGGAAGCCCACAGACACCTCACAGCCTCTATGTGTGGATGTGGAGCAGCCAGCAGTGATCAACAAGGCACAAAACCCCAGGGAGAGCCAGCCCCTTTAATAGCTTCTGCTCTGTGGCCCAACAGCGGACACACTTCATGGCTTTATTTATTATAAAAGACCTTTAAGAAGATGATCTCTTCCCAAAACCACCCCTCAGCTTTATTTCTACCCACAGGGACTGTGTCTAATGGGGTGCTGGCACTGCCAGGGCAGCAGGGCTGGTTCCAGGTTTTTTAGACAAGGGGGACATTCCCAAGCCTGGAGGTGACCCCCTCATTCCCTTATAGATCTATGCCTTGGAAACTGCAAACCCAAACTCCATTTCTAGGCAGCTGGATGACAATCAAGCCCAGTGTTTATTGCAATGCTCCTCATTTGCCTCAGGTCTATAAATGTACATTCAAAAATAACAGCTCTGTGTATCCCAGCTGGACACATTTGGGCTTGAATGATGAACAGGCTGATCCGTCGGTGAAGGAGAGTCACCTCCTGGTCCCGAGTGTGGTGGGAGCAAACAGGCCAGTTACCTGCTCAGGATCTCTGTGCATCGAGTCAGAGCCTCAAGCACAAACAACTCCAGCTCTCCTTTCAAGTGTATTTGGTGTGAACCCGTGTGGTGTCTCTGGCATCATATCCCAGCACAGGGAAAAGACCTGCTGGCCCTAGAGAGCTACATCCCTTGGGTCTGCCCCTGTCTTGGGGGAAGAAGACAGGTTTGAGCAGCTGCTGTAATGATGTGCCAGCTTGTTTTGGCTCGAGGATGGGCAGTGAGAAGGCTCTGGAGCGCTTGGGCAGTTCGTGTTCACATGGTACCATTGGGAAAAAAACAGGTTGGATCCCATGAAGCCACCCCGGCTGCAGAGAGGGGCCGACAGCCAGTGGGGGTCTGGTGGAGCCGAAGGGTTTGTGATGCTCAGCAGCTGTGGGGGCTGCCCATGGTGCTCCCACATTGTCCCAGCTCCCAGCCTGCAAACCCTGCATCCAAAGCAGCTCTTGGCCAGGGAGCTGCATTTCAGGGGGCTGCACATCCCAAGTATACCTCCCCAAAGCAAACTCACCACCCAGAGAAGCACACAGTGGTTTAAACAGTGAAAAAAAAAAAAAAAATTGCTTGTGGTATGTAACTCCCATTACCTTGGGCCAACCATGGGCCAACCATGTCAACTTTGTGCACCCCCCCCCAAAGAACTGCTTTCAGAAAGCCTCAAGTCAATGTAGGCTCTGTCCCTGTTCCTGCAGCAGCCAGGGAAGGCACAGGTTCCAAAGCACCACTTCCAGAGCCTCTCCAGGTCCCAGATGGGGAGGTCTGGCTGCCACTGCTGAATTGGGTTATTTGTTGGTTATGTAGCTTTAAGCTCATGTCCTTTTGGGGACAGCCAAAAGGAGAGGGGAGAGCCAAGCCAAAGGTGTGAGCAAGGAGCACAGGGTGGCTAATCTCAGCCAAGCCGTGGCTACCACCTCTGCCCATGGGGCTATGTGTCCCAGTGGGGAATTTTACCCCTGCAGCCAGCAAGTCCTTGGGCCAAGAGCACACGGTGGGATCCCAGACAGCGTGGAGACACACAGCACTGAGGGCTGATGGCCTCTGTGGGGTCAGCAGGGATGCACTTGGTGCATCCCTGGGGCTTTGCCTGGGGCAGTCCAGTGCCAGCTCCCACTCGGGACAGCCAGGTCGTGGCTGTCCTATGGCAGTGCCGTAGGCAGGGAGGGGATGCCAGGCTCTCCCAGCTGCTGGGATGTCCTTTCTCTTGGGGCTGGGCAGAGGAGCAGCAGCAGTGGCTGCTTTCTGGTGCCAGACAGGTTGCTGCAGTTCAAGGCCAGACTGCTGTGGGCTCAGAGAGGCAGGAATGAACCAGACAGGGAAGGAAGAAGATGTGGGCACAGCTATGCCAAAAGCATCCCTCTTGGAGCTGTCCCTTGGTCCAAACACTCCCTTTTTGGTGCTCACCTCTAGCTTCCCAGCAGCGTTGGCTGTTCCCAGAGCTCATCAGGCCCAGCACAGTCACCTGGCAGTGGTGGCTGGCACATGCTCTGACCCTGGACGTACAGAGCCAGGACAGTGGTGGAGCTGCAGAACAAACTGACTCTGTGACACAGCCTGCTGGGCACCACTGATGGGCTCCTGTGCTGGTTTTGGCTGGCATAGAGTTAAATTTCTTCACAGCAGCTGCTATGGGGCTGTTTTCTGCGAAGAAAATTAACTCTACCCCAGCAGAAACCAGCTCCCCGGCCTTTAACAGCAACATCTACCCAAACATCTTCCCTTGCAGCATGTGAGAACTGCAAACAGCATCCATGGAAGTGGTTGTGACAATCCTCCACAATCACAACCCCAAAGCTGTCCTCTGGACATCCATGAGGCCTCTGCTTCACCCCCTTCTCAGCTATGCTGTAGTTCCTCCACCAGTCCAGCTTCCCCCCACCAGTGGCATCTTCCCAGGCAGCTCCACACCAAAGGCTTTGGGATGTTTGCTGCTCCAGAAATGCTCTGAGTGATTCATGGGCGATGAGCAGCTGGGAGAAGAGCCCCACTCTTCATCCCAAATCAGCTCTAAAGCCCCAGCTCTGAAGCTGTGGCAGCTTCTTGGGGAGGAGGAGAAGTGGGGATCCCTTCCACCAGCTGGAGGATGGCTACATCTCAGGTGTGACAGTGCCTCAAGGGCTCTCTCTGCACAGCCTGATCCATGGAAGGAATGGTACTGTCCCCATATCCCCCTGCAGGGACTCTTCCAGCAGGGAAGCACTTAGCCATCCCATTGCATCAGCTGCAAGAAACAGCCCAGCTGAGCCAGTGCAGGGAGCCTGGGCAGCATCCACCTGCTCCCCCAGCCCTTCCAGCCACCCCTCTCTGCAGATCCAGGCACTGGGAGGGAAAACACCCCCGAGGCAGCCCCTTGTGATGAAAGCCTGTGGACAAAACAAATCACCCACGTGATCCCCGACTGTAACGCAGAGGGGAGGGTAGAGAGCTGGTCTGTGCCCTGCAGTGCACCAGACAAGGGAAGTGACACGCTGAGGGGGACCTTGTCCATCAGAAATGCCAGGCTGGCCTCGTGGGGGGTGCAGATGCAGCACAGAGACCCCAGGAGCCAGTGGGAAATGCCCCCTGGCCAGGCTGTCAGGTCCACAGGGCCAATCCTGCTGCTGGTCTCTTGTGGCACAGCTGGGCTGGGGTCTGTTTTCCAGGTCCAGGTGGCTGTGGTGCTTCAGCTCACCCTCCTCTTCTTCTCCACAGCAGGGACAGCATCTGTCTGTCTGTCCATCCATGCTTTTGGCCTTCAGCAGGACTCCACAGGGACACGAGGGGGTGGCTGCAGCCCCAGGTGGCCGTGGGAGGCCAGTGTTTAGGTGGCCTGGCCGGGTGGGAGGCGTTTGCTGTCCAGAATGGCCTTCCAGTCATCGGACCAGGAGTGCAGCCGGCGGCTGGGGGGCTTCAGCTGCAGGTGCTTGTTGTGGCAGGCAGTGAAGAGCACGTGCTCCCAGGTGGGGTTCAGCTCGGCCCCTGCAAAGCAAGGAGAGAGTTCAGTGCTCTGGACAACTCCCCTGCGAGACACTGAGGTTGACTTTGCTCCAACGTGAAGAGCCTGAAGATACAAAACCCTGATAAGAGCCTAATAAATCATGGAGGGACCAACACCCATCACTGGCTGCATCCAGGCACTCCCTCAGCCCTCACCTCTTACCTGTTATATCAGGTCTGTCATCTATAAGCAGGTCAGCAGAAACCACTGTCTTATCCCGCGTCAGAACGATCTGCTCAAGAAACTCAGGGCCAAAGTGCTTCTCCACCCAGGCATACTGGAAGGCAAGAGGCAGGAGGTGAGCTCAGGGAAGGCTGATGGATGGGGCAGGGGCTGCTTGATGGAGTAGAATCAGCCCTGGCCCCTACACAGGGATAATCTCTCTCTTAATAAGTTGTTTAGTGGGATAGATTTGGATGCTGCTGGAGCATAAGTTCTTTTAAAGCCCAGCAGCTTTTGATGTCGTGATGAAATCCTAAGACCAAGAACCTCAGTGTGTGCAAATGGTAGAGCTCAGCTGATGGCGGAGCTGCTGCTCTGTGAAGATGCTTAGGGACAAAACTGATGGCACAGGGAAATGTTGTTGCCATTTTACAGCTGGAGGCATATAGGGGTCAGCTGGCTTTGCTGGGCAGCCTGGACAGGAGGGGGAGCTGAGATTTGGACCTGCTCACCTTCTCGTAAGGGCAGTAGCGGTACTTCTTGATGGGGCTTGTGCAGATGAACACGTCGGTGCTGCCACGAGGAGAAAAACAGGGGCAGAGTGTCACTCTGTGCCAGAGCAGGCAGGACCCCGAAGGTGACCCCCCACCACACACAGACCAAACCAGGGTGATTTAATCCCCCATCTCATAGGATCTCACCCACACCCCCAGCACAAGAGCAGAGCTGACGGGAAGGGGCTGCACATGGCTGATGTTCTTGGTGACTGCTCCAGGAATCAAAGCCCTCTCTCTCCTCCCATCCCTGGTGGCTGGGGGCAATTTATTTTTAATGCTGATGTTGTATCAGCTCTTCTGCCAGGAGGTGGATGAGCCTGCAAAGCCACAGCTACTCCCCCGTCCATCCCCACACCACGGGGCAGGTTCCTACTCACTCTGCCAAATTTGCCATTTCCTTCACAGCTTCCACAGCCCCAGGGAGCGGGTCCAGCTCAATGAAGAAGTTCTTGGATTCCCAGATGCTGATGGCTTTCTCCTGTGAGTGGAAAGAGAGCAGTTACTGCACAGGGCTTCTTGCTACTCTTCTGGCATGCAAGTCTTCCTCACCTTTTGTGAGGATAGAGGATGGTGACAGTGAGAAAGGTGGGAGCACCAGCTCCAGTCCCCTCCTGCTAACTCCCCCTGCCTCTGTGGATGCCTCTGGTCCCCACCTGCCAATCTGCACCCATTCCATTCAATTTAGATTGGAGATGCTCTGCAACAGACTTGGTTTTGCCTCTGCAGCCCCAGATAGAGAGGGAGCAGCACGTTCCTTCAAGGCAAAACACAAGAGATTATCCAGATCTGACCCAAACCCTGGGTGTGGGTCCAGAGGGATGGACCCACGAGGATCCAGCTGACGTGGCCTGGTAGCCCTGCTGTAATGTGATGCTGCTCAGGCACAGATGCTGTCTGGCCTATTTGTCTCCATGAGATCACTTAAAATAGCAGCCGGGCTGCTCTCCCAGGAGCAAGTATATTACAGGATGAACCACATGTCAGGATGAATGCAGATGCTCTTCCTCAGGGATGCCTGGGCAAGGTCTACCAAGCAAATAGAGCATCTCCAGGCAAGGATTTGAAACACTTAACATCCAGGTCAGCAGCCAGGATGCAATGGTATAGCACAGGGAGAACAGAGATGAGACCACAGGGAACAAAACCTTGGGATGAGGGCAGAGTCCAGGGGCTGCCTGCTATGGATCCAGCACAGCTCTAAAGAACAGCATCCCCTGCACTGCCTCAAACAGGTAACAGCTTGTCAGGCGCCAAGGAAAGCAATTATTTTGCACAAACACCAGGTCCTTGGGGAGGAGAGCTGGGAAGAAGCAGAAGCAGCCCTGTCCTGGTGTTGTGATGCAGCTGAGGAGCTGCAGATGCAGCTGGGAGAAGTTTTGAAGGGAGCTCTGCCCTGAAGGACTGATTTTCATTTTGAACACTTCTGTTTCTAAATTTGAGGGAGAGGAACAGGGACAAAAGGAACTTCAAGCCCATCCCAGCCTTCTCGCAATCTGGCACTTGGCAGTTCCCTCCTGCCTGATGAGTGGGAATCTAGTGAGTAACCACCACATTTTGCCTTTACTATGCCTGTACTGGGGGAATAAAGCAGGCAACCATGAGCAACTGGGGCTTTACTGGGAACTACAAAGCTCAGGGCAGCAACACCCCAGAGCAAACACAGGATCGCTTAAGGAGTCCCATCCTGCTTTAGCCAGTGCCAGGACACGGGCTGCACACCTCGCCTCCTCTCAGGAAGGTAAATGCATCAACCCATCACATATTTGGGCATTGAGCTTTTAACATGACATGCCAGAATCAAACCCTGTATTTCTCAAAAATCCTAAGTAACGTGACAAGACCAGACACCCAATTTAAAAAGGAGAGACTCTGTTGCACTCTTTCCTTTTGCCCAAGCAGCAGAAAACATCGGTGGATCAGAGGAGGGAATAAAAGCCTTCTTCGTGGCTGTCCAAAATGAAACACATTGATTTGTGCAGAGAGCCAGCAGAAATGCCTCCTGGCTCCATGGCAAGAACAGCTGCCCTAAAAGTTTGCCATGGGGTCAGGTACATATTCAAACTAGAGTTGCTCTGCTTCAAATTAGTGAGCAATGATGTTCTATTTTTAAGACACTGACTGCAGTTGCACAAGAGACACCTGAAAAACACAGCCTGATGCAGCAGAGCACTTCAAACTGCATTGAAGTGTTTTCTTTCAGCAAGGACTTCCGCAGTTATCCCGCTTCCAATTATGTTAAAAAGCATTTTGCGATCAAGCTTGAGGAGGGAAGAACTAAGCTCATCTTGAGGAAAAGACCCATTCAGCTCCCAGAGACAGAATAACTCTCTGTGGCACAACCATCATGCTGGCCCAGTAGATGGAAAAATCCCCTGGGCTGGGAATCCCACCAAGTGTCAGAAGGACACACCCTCAAATTCCTTCTTCTTATGTCTCCCCATGAGGAGTTTCCCCGCCTGTCCAGGGCTTCCCATCCTTCCAGGTCTGTGTGCTCAGTGCATTGCTGAGCTGTTCTCTCTTTCAGAGCTGTGACCTGCAGCTCATTGGACTCTTCAGCTTCTATTTTCTAGTCCCCTACATCAGGTCAATGGTTCTCTCTGAGGAGGGGGACTGGAATGGCCCATGTGCACACATCCACAAAGCAGATCCTGTTCTCTTCATCCCTGTTCTGAAACCATGGGTGAAACCAGGACTGCTCTGAGGTCGATTTGTGGAAATTTTGTTCCTTGTTCAGCCCAAGGTTTCAGTGGTTTTACATGATCACAGCAGACACAAGATGAGCTCACTTCATTTAACACATCCAACGTAGTTAAGATCAAGGAAGAAAAATTCATTATCATGCATTACCCCTGCCAAACTTTTAACATCTGCTTTACTGCATGAATGACGTTCTCCATTTCCCTTTCGTCAATCCCACCCAGAGAGGACATGTTATTTCTTTAGCTCATCAAGATGTTTAGGACTTTGCCCATGGGAGAGCTCCGGACCTTATTCCTGCTCCTTTCCTTGTAGCCATCATCCTACTAAAAACAGGAGCACTTTTATTTGCTGTAACACCTTTCAACCAGTGCAACTGCAATCCATGGATGAGATGAGAAACTTGAAGAGGCAGAAACCTACTCTCTGCTATGGTCAGCCCATTGTTAAACGATAAAGTACAACATAAAGAGAGTTTCTGCTTTTAGGCTTTAATCATTAAAATGAATACAGTAATTTTCAGGCATGGAGGGTCTGGGGTTGTTTTAATTTTAAGTAAGCCCTTACATGAAGCATTAATTGCATGATTTGCTCTCAACTTTTGTGCTGCATCCCACCCCTCACTTTGCTGTTGAGGAGCTAAATAATCCATCTAGGAACAGTATCAATCCATGTGTCCAAATCAGAGCTAGAAAAAGCCACCTATGCAATTTGAGGTATTTTAAGACAGATATTCTGAAACATCTCCTTTCCTTGCATGTATCTCCATCCATGAATGCAGGGAAAAAGACCACTAGACCACTTGAGTAACCTGGTCTAGTGGAAGGTGTCTGCCCACAGCAGGGGGTTGGAACGAGATGAGCTTTAAGGTCCCTTTCAACCCAAACCATCCCATGCTTCTATGAAAGAGACACTGGATTTCTGGGGAAAAAGGCAACACTGGAAGCTCTCCTGTGTGCAGACCTGTACCTGTGCTTTGGTGGGAGCTCTGGCCAGCACCCACAGCCCTCCCCAGCACTGCACCCACGACCTGGGGGTCAGGGGGTCCCGCGGGGCCGAGCTCCAGCCCCAGCCAGAGCACACGCAGAGCCGGGGGATGCACAACTCACACTCAGCTCAGGTCCCAGGCGCCCGTACTGCTCCGACACCCAGAAGCCCCTCCGGTCCTCCAGGGCAATGTAGGGCTTGTCGGGGTACCTGGCCCTGAACTTCTTGAGGAAGCCTCCCTCAAAGTCGGCCAGCACCCCATCCATGTCCACCAGCACCCGCAGGGCCCTGCGGGACCCCCCGGCGGGGCCGAGCCCCCTGCCCAGCCCTGCCAAGGGGCTGCAGTGCCGGGGCCGCAGGTGCAAGAAGCAGCTCAGCAAAATCATGGTGGAGGGGGCTGGGGGAAGGGGATGAGGGGCTTCGGGAAGGAGATGGGAGGGGGTTTGGGGAAGAGGGACTTGGAGAAGGGGATGAGGGGCTCAGGGCAGGGGATGGGGGTCTCAAGGAAGGGGATGGGAGGCTTGGGGCAGGGGATGAGGGGCCTGGAGCAGAGGATGGGAGGCTCGGGAAAGGGAACAGGTGCTCAGGGATGGAGGGCTCAGGACAGTGGATGGGGATCAGGGCAGGGAATGGGGTGCTTGGGGAAGGGGATAAGGGTCTCAGGACTGGGGATGAGGGGCTCGAGGAAGGAGATGGGGGGCTCTCCAGCTAAAAGAGGGGCCTTTATTTCAAGCAGGCACCCCGCCAGCAGGCAGCCGTGGCAAGCGCATCCCTTTGCAGCAGAAGCAAGGAGCGGAGGGGCGGATGCGAGGGGGACCAGAGAGGCTGCGGGGGGCTGCGGGGGGGATGCAAAGGCCCGTCCTGGCGCCCAGCGCGTCCTCCCCCTCCCCGTCCCATCCCTCCCTGGCAGCGAGCGCGGAGCGGGCGGCGGGGGGGGACCGGTACCGGTGCCGGTGCCCGGAGGTGCCCGGCGCTGAGCTCGCCCCGACCCGGCAGTGCAAAGCCCAGTTCCTCTTCCCGGTGCTGGGCCGAGCCCGGAGCGCCGGCACCGCCTTAAAGCGGCACAAGCGCCTGTGACAGCGCGGCTGCTCCACGCCGCCCGCCCGCTTTAAGGCTGCCCGGGCCCCGCGCCCTCCCCTTCCCCTTCCCTTCCCCTTCTCCTTCCCCTTTCCCTTCCTCCCGGCCTCAGTTTCCCTCTCTTTCAGTCTTGGGGATTCTCCATTTCCCCTCGCTTGCTGCGGACCCTGTCCCTGATCCCGCCCTCTGCCCCCATGCCCGTCCCTGCCTGCAGAGATGGTGGGTTTTGGGGGCGCAGATGTGTAGGGGCACAGTAACGTGATCTTTGCATAAAATACACCCTTTTCTGCCAGTTCACGCGGAGGGGACACGCTGTGGCCAGGGTGTCGGGAACCCTTAAAAGCCGGAGCCCAAAAAGCCGGTTCCGTGACCCCAAAGAAGCACCGACAGCACCACGAATGTTCTGACACGGGACCAAAGATCTGGTCAAAAAGTGCTGTGAGGGTTAAAACTGATGGAGAAGGGGCAGCTCTCCAAGTGGCACTGACAGGATTAGGCAATCGCTGAGCTGGGAAAGATTTTACTTGACAGCAATAATACAGTTCCACTATATTTAATTTTTCAAGTCCAGAATGTTTTCCAGTGGAATATATTATCCTTCGATCATAGAAAGGGCATGAAAATGCACTGTAGGAATCAGGTGACCTGGGGAAGGTCACAGTGAGGGAAGGAGAACTGGCTGGGTGGTGAACCCAGCAGTGAGGCTGGGAGGGCAAACGGGGGAAGTTCAAGTCTGTGTTGTGCTTTCACTCCCACTTGGAGGCATTTTGCTCCCTGCGAGGAATGGGATTTCAACACAGCTGGATGTTCCTGACTAAGCAGGGAGGGAATACATAGAAGTTTATGGCTCCCCAGGGCAGTGGTCACAGCCCCAGGGCTGACAGAGCTCAAGGAGTGTTTGGACAATGCTGCCAGGCACATGGTGGGTTTGTTAGGGTGTCCTGGGCATTGCCAGGAGTTGGACTGGATGATCCTTGTGAGTCCCTTCTGTTGCCAAATACCTCCAAAATCATTGCGAAGAATAAACACCAATTCATTCCTTTTTCACATATTTATACATTTTTAACAAATTAATTAATGTTCATTGGTTCTAAATTACATAATTCCCTTTCATTAATTAGTATTCCATCCACTATTGGTTATTAATCTCTCATTGCTTATGCTAATTAGTTCATCTTTCTAGTATCTTTTTCCCCTGGTAGGGATTTTCTAACACAAATATCAAGCCTTTGTTAGTCTTCTTCCTCATCTGCTGGTTTCTGCAAAAGGCCCTTGTTTCCAGATGTCCAGTTTCAACAACACATTTCTCTCTCACGGGCTGTGTTCATTGAAGCACTTTTTGTTAAAAGGTTAACTTTTAACAAAATGTACAGTTTTAGTACTTTTCCCAAGCTGTCGTCTCACAAAAGTTGCCTTATGACAACTTTTTGCTGTATGCTGGCTAAAAGTGATTTAAGGCCTAACACATAAGCTAAAACAACTAATTAAAGGGTTTCATTAAAGCCACTGGAAATATTAGAAAGGTTGTATCATTTTCAGCACTTCCAGCTCAGGATGGTCTATAATTCCGTGATCTCCACACAGGCTTCCATCATCTCCATGGATACTGAAGCACTGACACATTCTCTGCCTGCAGAAGCTCCCGAGGGATGGAAAACACACTCCCACGTATATAAACCGAGTCAACCAGCGGGATACAAACCCCGTTCCCCGATATCCGGGCGAACATTACACGGAATCAGAGGACAACCACCGCGTTCCCAGGGGACAAGAGGGATTAAATCTGCACTGCTCGTGCAGTGCCAGCACTCGGGAGGGCTTGACCGTATGGCGAGGGTCCCCCTGTCGCGATGGTCCCCATGTCGCCACGGTCGCGGTGTCGCGGGGGGTCCCCGAGTCGCGCGGAGGTGACGCCGATGACGTCACCACCTCTCCCCCCTCCGGCCCTGCTGAGTCACGGCCCCTCCCGCGCCTCCTGACGCGGGGCCGGCGGTTGCCACGGCGACCGCACCTCTCGCGAGAGGCGGCGCGACCGGCGCGCGGCGGCGGGCGGTGCGCGGCGCCCGCGGCGGCCCCTCATTGGCCGGCGGCGGCGGCGGCTCCCGGCGCGCGCCGCTTTCCCCCCCCACACCCCCTCCCCTCACACACCCCGGGCCCCGCCCCTCCCTCCCTCCCGCGCGCGCGGCCGCGGCGCGAGCCGCCAAGATGGCGTCGGCCCTGGAGCAGTTCGTCAACAGCGTCCGGCAGCTCTCGGCCCAGGGTGAGGGGCACGGGGGGACACCGGGGGCACCGCGGGAGCCCGCGGGGCCGCGGGAGGGCGGCGGCGGCCGGGGGAGCCCGCCGGGCCGCGCGCGGGTGGCGGCGGGGCGGGAGGGGGCGGGCCGGGGCCTGCCCGCTCGCACGGCGCTCCCTCAGGCGCGGGGCCGCGGCGCCGCATCCCCCGGGCCCGACCCGGGGTTCTTTCGGGCTCTACACCCGCAGGGGCTGCGGCGACCGTGCGCGGGTGAATCCGGGGCGGCCCCGGAGGGGTCCCGGGGGTGTGACACGCCACGAGGGGCCGGCGGTGCCCTCCCGGTTCTCCCAGGGGATGGTTTTAGCGCCAGCGGTCGTACCCGAATCTGAGCCTTTAAAACAGGGGGAGGAGCGGGCACCGCGGGGTCTTTAACTGGGATTTTGTAGCCCAGCCTGTCACCTCCCTGACGAGCGGGCAGGTTGTGATAAGTGAGTGGTTTAAAATACGGTTCTGAAGAGTCCAAGCGTCCATGCTCTACATTTTCAAGCAGAGCATGGACAGAGAGTCCTGACCCACTACGGAACAGTATGACAGGTCTGAGACCGTAACCACGTGTTCAGAAAGTGTTTAAATAACCACGATTAGAATTCCTTAGTTTCACTGCCAAACTCCTAATTTTCCTATGTGCCAAACTCCTAATTTTCCTGGTTCTTGAACTTTCCCTCTATGTTGATGGGTCTTGAGTGTTCCTCTGCCTGGAATGTTTGATCTCCAGAATTGATCAAAAATTGGTGCTTTCCTCTGTGGTCCCAAGTTTTATCTCTGGCAGTTCTTGGGTGGAGTTCCAGCTTTTTCTGACTTTGGTTTAACATGTTAAATATAGAGTATTTTTACTGGGGATATCACGTATAAGAGATAAATTATACCTACAAGGTGCGGGTACAAACCCAGTGGAAGATGGTTCTTCGTACACCTGTAGTTGAGCTGGAGAATTTTCTGTCACAAGGTTTTGGGGATGCGAAAGGCTCAAGAAGAGACTGTTTGGCTTTATGGAAGTTCTCCCATTAGGGATGAGCCAGGTAGGCATTCTCTGTGAGAAAGTCCTCAGCACAGGAAGGACATCAACCTCTTGGAGAGAGTCCAGAGGAGACCACCAAGATGATCAGAGGGATGGAGCAGCTCTGCTGTGAGGAAAGGCTGGGAGAGTTGGGATTGTTCAGCCTGGAAAAGAGAAGGGTCCAGGGTGACCTAATTGTGGCCTTCCAGTACTTGAAGAGGCCTGACAAGAAAGATGGACTGGGACTTATTTCCAAGGGCCTGGAGTGACAGGACAAGGGGGAATGGCTTCACACTGACGGAGGGCAGGGTTAGATGGGATATCGGTAAGAAATCTTTCCCTGGGAGGGTGGGGAGGCCCTGGCACAGGTTGCCCAGAGAAGCTGTGGCTGCCCCATCCCTGGAAATGTCCAAGGCCGGGTTGGATGGGGTTTGGAGCAACTTGGTCTAGTGGAAAGTGTCCCTGCCCATGGCAGGGGGTTGGAATGAGGTGATCTTTAATGTCCCTTCCTTTCACAGAATCACCATCCTGTGATTCTGTGAAAGTAAATCCAGACCCAGACAGGCATCTGGAGGACATGAGAGCACACAGAACACAGAACTGTACTTGTGGTTGTTTCTGGCTGTCAGCATTTGGCTGCCTGAGAGGTGACATAAAGGGACATTTAGTTGGGCCTGGTGTGGGAATTTCTACTTAGACTAAGTTGTTCAGTGTGTGTGTACAGGGATGGATCACAGAATCCCAGAGTGGTTTGGGTTAGAAGGGATGTTAAAGTTCATCTCGTCCCACCCTGTGCCAAGGGCAGGGACACCTTCCACTAGACTGTTGCTCAGAGCCTGTTTTGAGGAGGTTCTTTGTGTTGTTTTTTGGAGGAATGATAGAACTGTAGAGTAGATGGATTGCTCTACCAGAAGTAAGGTTTTGCAGTGCCTGAATACCATTATCAAGCCACAGAGAGTTTTACAAGCCCTGTTCCTTCTTCCCATGCATATGCCTGAGTATTTAATTCTGTATAGAGGGAGCAGTTTTGGGGGTGGATTTCCGGCATTCTTGGGCTCTGGTCCCTCATTGGGAACTTCTCGATCCCTCTGTCACTT